TTTGCTTAAATACGACACTTATAAAATATATAATTTAACGAAGAATGGCAAAGTATTCGCGGTGAAATTATTACGTTGATATTGCGGAATCGAATTAATCAGGTCACAGTTTTAAACGTTTTACTCATTTTTGTTATAAACAGAATTTTTGTTACAACAGAATCATTATTTAAAAATTCTACCGAACGACTTGAATATTTTTTCCGAGATGTCAGACCGACTAGTTTACTAAACAATGAGTTCACATAACCTATTCGATTGGATCGATTCGAAACATTCCAATGACCAGTTAACACGAACGAATATGCAAGCATTATGTACGGATAATACGAGCGGGTTCGTGGCGATTCTCCGACATCGGTTGGAATCGTCGAAACGGCCAGACGAACTCGGCGACCGTTTTATTGCAGGTTGCACGGCTCGCGTGTCACCTGCGGCCAGCCCGAGGCTCCGTCCCTCTGCGTGTACGCGAACGATCGTGCGCCGGCGGAGGAACGCATCAGCTGAAAATTACCAGGTGTCTCCCGATCGAAAACACAGGGGAGAGCCGCGCGCCGTCGCGACGGCCGGTCGTTAATTAATTAAGCAGAAAACGGTGACCTTGGGCGTCCTTTCAGGGAGCGGTCGCGAGCGTGTCCCGCCCCGCGGCGCGCGTATTTTTCCTTTTTGCTCGCCCGAGAGTATGAGCCGCGTTATCTATGCCACGGGAACGAATTCTGGGACGGTCTCTCTCTCTCTCTCGTGTTCTCTACCGCGCTCTCTCGCTCTCTTTCTCTCTCTCGCGCACCCTCTCACTCTCTCTCGCGCTCTCTCTCTCCTTCTTTCTCGCTCTCTCTTTCACTCTCTCTTTCTCGTTCTCTGCCGCTCTCACTCTCTCTCCCGCTCTCTCGCGCTCTCTCCCACTCTCTCTCTCTCTCTCTCTCTCTCTCTCTCTCGCGCGCGCGGTGTTAATGTACCAAAAGAATCTAATGATTTTATGAACGTAATGATTTCACGAACGGAATGATGAACATAATGAACAGAATGATTTTATGAACGTAATGATTTCATGGAGAGAATAATGAAAATAATGAACCAGATGATTTCACGAACGTAATGATTTCACGGACAGAATGATGAACATAATGAACAGAATGATATTATGACTTAATGAACTCAGTGAATTGAATGAACATTGACATGTTAATTACGACTGATTAAAATTATTTAAGAGAGGAACAAGATTACGCTTGGCTCCTACATCTTGCTATTTTATTTTGCATAAAGATCCACAATCTAGTTACAACATAATAATAATTATATTAATATTAATAATTATAACAATATTATAATAACGTTAATATTATAAATAAAAATATATATATATATATAATATACATTATAATATTAATATATCACTATATCATTACCATATTATATCATTATAAATTGCATATCGCAACGTCGCTCACGCCGAAAAATAAAAAGGGTTAGAAACTAAGATTCAAGACGATAGCACCGCGTGGCGACCGTTGCACGTGACGCCTGACACGAGATTCGAATCTCGCGGATCGAGGAACCGAATAATCGCGCGTAGAAACAGGTTTGTGGTTCGCGTAATCGTCTTCTCTACGGTATTAAAAGTCGCGAACGACGTGTTAGAATGTTGGGATCGTACGAAGCGAAGCCCGATATACCCGTTCCCGTTTATTCCCAATGATCGCCGGCTACCGGGCCCGAGCGTCGCCGGAAGAGGGCCCCGAGTAAAGCAGGAGATACGAGAAAGGGGAACGTCGACGCGGTGTATCGCGGCGGGGACGGTCGATCGTTTGCAACCCGGTTTCTCCCCCACCCCTCTCCGAGTAATCGTAATTTTCGTAATACGCGATCTCTCCCGGGTTCGCGGCGACCGGCACGGCGACCGGCGCGGCGCGGCGGGGCGGGAGAGCGCGGGCGGCGAGGTACGCGCTGGCGTGGACAGGGTGGAGGGGGGAGGGGCTGCGTCGAGGGAACGAAAGGGGGCGCCGGTGACCGGAAGCCACGGTTTGTTCAGCCGTTGAACCTGCTCTCGTTTAATTCCGTTCACGGAGGCGGCTCCGAGGCAAACCACGGCTATTATATCGCTGCGCCGAGCGAGGATGGCGTTACGTATCCCGAGGCCGCCGCGATCCGCCCGATCCGACGATCCTCCTTCTCGTCCATCCTTCTTCGGCTTTTCCGATTCTCTCGTTATCTCCTCGTCTCGTTCCCCGGTTTCGATTTCGACGCGCTTTCCCAGACGAGCCAACGACGTGACAAAAGTGCAAGGGTCGATTCAAAGTGCTGTAACTTTGTGAAGAAAAATCGCAGTAGCGTTTTTTCTTTTTTTTTTTAATTAAAGGGGAAGGTCGAACTTCGTTTGACGAAATTTAACGAAGCCCGTGTATTTCGGCGAACGCGTCGAACTTGAAGCACATCCTTTAGATATGTATGCAAAGGAGGATCAGCGGTCCGGGATTATCGAAACGAGCGATATTAAATCGCGCTCTGGCTTTGCGGTGGGCTCGGATTGTCAGTGGCAATTACAGAAGCCGCGGTGCCGGCGACGAGATAGGCGCCGGCGGAAAGGGTGACGCGGCGCAGCGATTCCGCGTTGCCAGGCTGCTCGAACAATAATTCGCGGCGAGAGGGTAAGAGAGAGAAAGAGAGCGAGAGAGAGAGAGCGAGAAAGCGAGAGAGAGAGAGAGAGAGCGCGAGAGAGAGGAGAGAGCGCGCTTCCTGGATTGCACAGGTGCGTTTCCTAGCCGCGGTTATGACGATCAGCGGGGCCGAGGCAGGGGGGCGATTAAGCGAATAAGGAGTCACGGCAATAGGGAAACACCTGTTCGCCTTTTATAACGGCCACTAAAATGCTTCGTTAAAGGATCGACCCGGCTCCGATCCTGTAAATTTAACGATTTCGTCGGACAAAGTACGGTCTAACTGGCCGCAACCGGTACGCCTTCCTTGTTGATTGCGGTTGTCGAGTGGGGGGGGGGCAACGGAAC